ACCTTGAATATAAGGTCAGGAGAATTTTTAGCTACTTCCTCAATATCAACACCACCAGCCGGACTACCAACCATGACAGGACCATCAAACGTTCTGTCCATCAAAATAGCAAAGTAGGTTTCTCTCTCAATATCAAGGGCCTCTGCTATCATGACCTGTCAATAATTAGTATTTAGCAACACTGTAGTTAGGTTTGCAGAAAGTGATTGTTTGAATATATAAACCTTATGATTATGGCTACTGAGATTTTTTGCAAGCAGAACCACAAGACTTGTTTTTGCCCTTAATGTCTTTCCATTCTCCCCTGTATACTGTTCCAATTACCATGGATACATAGATTAGTGGAAGTGATGATTAGAAAGAATGCCAAGTTTACAGTCTCACTTGAAATGCAGGTCTTGTTCAAAGTTGCAACTCCTATCAACGAGATCATTCTTGCAACATACAAACAAGACTTCATAATCCACACATAAACTAGTTCACATTTTTAATCATGCGTGTTGTTTTCAATGAGTGGATACAAAGTTACTTCCATATGCATTTAAAATACCTGATGAATATGTATAATTAATACTATTGAACATAGAAAGTAAATTTAAAGTAGGTGACTCTTCTTTCATGCACACACTTATACCAAAATTGTGGATCACATAGTTACAACTGTCCTGCACATTTTAATAAATTTTGGGAACATGCATGTAATGATATAAATATGGCATGAACAAGTACACAAGTTATTTTTTACTCCCGTGTGCGAAGCACAAAAAGGGAGTCTTTGCAGTTAGTGTGTCTGTGTGTGTGTCTGTTCCACCGATATCTCAAGAACCATACATTGATTTTTGATGAAACTTGGTGCATAGATGCTTTGGGCCAATGCGCAGATTTGTTTAGGTTTTGGTGAAAATCCATGCATATTAATTACATAATTTGCATGATAATTAGCTGATTTTTTAGCTGTTCCATGACTGTTCCACTGATATCTAAAGAACCACTCATTGGATTTCAATGAAACTTGGCACATAGAAGCTCCAAACTCATGCGCAGATTTGATTAGTTTTGGGTAAAAATCTGTGCAATATTAATTACCTAATTTGCATAATGATTAATCAATTTTCGGCTTTTCCACTGATATCTCAAGTACTAATCATCACATTTCAATAAAACTTGGTACATAGATATCATAGGACACTGCACAAACTTGATAATTTTTAGGGTAAAATCAGTATACATTAATTACCTAATTTGCATAATTAATTAATTTTCAGCTTTTGATATTTCAAGTAGTAATCATCACATTTCAATGACACTTGGTACATAGTTACTTAAGGACTGTGCAGAACCCTGATTAGTTTTTGGGTAAATATTTGTGCATATTAATTACCTTATTAGCATAATTAGTTAATTTTCAGCTTTTTGCCTGATATCTCAAGTACTAATCATCATATTTCAATGAGACTTGCTACATAGATCTTCTAGGATTATGCAGAGACCTGATTAGTTTTAATTGGATATTAATTACCTAATCTGCATAGTTAATTAAATTTCAGCTT